TGATGAATATCAATTCGACCAGGTTGGTGTCAATGAACGGCTGGTTGAATGGTAGTGTGGGATCGTCTTGATATTGATTCTGACTAACTAATGTAAATATATTGAGTATTGGATACTAGTAGTAGCCAAAATCGTGTGACGCAAGCTGTTGCCGGTAACTTAGTCGTGGCTTGTTGATGAGGCCAGTGTAAAATTGTTTGGTCTTAAGCTGGAGCAACGAAGAGCATTAATGCACATACTTCACTCATACGAGAGTTGCTCATCAAGTAGTATGCTCAAGATTAAGGGACCATTGATAGACAGTTTACTGCACCAGGATTAGTCTGCCGATGGGAACGGCGCATTGCGTATGTCAACGCACTTAATTTATTCCACGGATTGGAATACCTTTCTATCAGTATCAATGCAGGCTAGAGAAAGAGAGAGGAAGAAAGAACATGGGAATGGAACCTGCTTCCAACTACCTGTCGAGACAGAGAAGAAAGAAAAAGACTGTGTCACAACTATACAAAGGGTCTGCATCTCGCCAGCCACTCTCCTTGCTTTTTCACTCCTCAACCCCTCACCCTACTCGCATGTCTGACCAACGGTCTAAACAGAAGGAAAACTAGTTAAAGACATAGAGACGCCGTAAGACGACTGACGAACGCTTGTGCTACACATGAAGGGGTATTAATAATGGGACGAACATTATTAGTTATGAACTTAGAAGGTCTCCAGTTCATCCGCCCCAGCCTCCGCTTCGGGAATCTCGAATCCCTCCTGCAACACATGTTAACCTCGGATTCGGGAATGAGAAGCCTCCTTGACAGGCAACAAAAGAGGTCCGGCTAGTGTGGAATCATACCTCCGTCGAGTACAGAATGCCCTGGATGTGCTTCACCAGGGAGTCATCATCCTTTTCGAGCTCCGGGTCGGCCTCGATGGCGCTCTGCAGAAGCAATTCGATGTCACGCAGCTTGGCAAAGTAGAAATCCCTCTCCTTCTCCAAGCCAGCAATAGCCTCCTTTTGCGTAGCAATCTCCTGCTGCAGCGCAGACACGTTGGCAGCGCTTGCGGCACCAGCGACACGGGGGCGGGCAGCGCCAATGGTAGGCGTAGTACCACGGCGTGCCGCTCCGGCGGAGCTTGCACCTGTGCGAGAGCCACCCGCAGTGGCGGGGGGACCACCGGAGGCCTTGCGACGAGCGGCGGCATCGTAGTCACCACCCGGGTAGTGTTGGTCCCAGTACTTCTTCGTCCACTGGAGGAACTCAAGGTTGTCCTGCATACGGCATTTCGTGAGAGATTCGACGGGAATCGGCTTGTCGACCTGGTGCTTGGCAAAGACGTCTAAACAGGCCTGTGTTAACGGAAACAAGGTTCCCAAACCACAATTCGTTCGGAAGAGGCGTACTCTGAAGAACCTTGAAGTTCTGAAGGTAGGCGTATTCGGTGTTGACGTTGAACTTGACGCGAGACATGGGGACATCCACTAAAAGGCAACTAGTAAGCCACATATCCAGGCGGGGGTGGAAAAAAAGGGGTGGGCTCGTCACGCCAACTCACTGAATATCGAATCGAAGATCTGGCACAGAGCGGCACTGTACAATCATTCCGTCAGCCTATGGGCCTGAGACATTTCTAATTGTTTGTTGAAAGCGCTGCTGAGGCGTCTGCTGCAGCCGACTTTCCACGTCTGTCAGGGAGGTTCCTACCCAGTTCCGCACTGCTCAACCTTGGTCATGTTCAACTGCAGCAGGTTGTTGATCCATGCCAACAGCTCTTGTCTGTTATCCTGGATTGTTAGCCTTGGGTGCACAGGACCAACAAGCCGATCTGAACAGACGCAGATGCCCGACGAACCTGGATTCCGACATAGTGGGGTAAGTAGTGTAGGAGAAGGCTGAATGCCGGGCTAGAAGGAATGCAGGGTTTGGCAGGGGGTTGCAAATATCGGAGAGGAGTTGAAATAAGAATTAGTAACAAAGGGAAACACCCTGTAGCGCTGGATCTCTCTTGTTAATTTCGAAGAAAAACAAAGGCCAAGTTGAGCAGATGGGGATGTTTTGTTGCTGTCGACAAAACCCACGGGACTGCACACGCTAAGCCGCTTTTGGAAAATCCACAACGGTACCTAGCCTCCCCAATCTACGGATGCCTGAGGCTAGAAATCGGAACCATTACTGATTACACTAAGTCGAAGTCTCATAGGCAAAAGCAGCCTAATTGAAGTAAATTTTGGTTCGGAGCAAATGAATTAATAAGTTGAGCAAATATGTAAGCATCTATCGCTAGCCAATGTATGTCCCTGCTAATAAACCCAAGAAGCAAACCCGCATATCCCAAAAAAACTCCAAAGCCCAGACTTTTCCTCAGTAAATAAGCGAATAGCAAATGTCTAGCCAGATTTATTACTCTTTCAGTAAATCTATGCCATCTAGTCCATAACCGAAATCCATTATGACAGCGCGAGAATCTTGGCTGGTGGCCACAATGCGCCGATAGTCGGACTTGACGCTGAGCATCCAGCTCGTTGTCCAGCCCGGAAGGTCAATGGATAGCTCGCCACTTTGAGCATCGAAAACTTTGACACTCATGTCGTAGCTACCACTGACAATTCGTTGATTCATGCTGTCCAAGTGCAAGGAGCGAACCAAGCCTGCGTGGCCCTTGAGCTCGTTGACCATGTCGCCGGTATTGGCGTCAAACTGATAGATCACTTGGTCGTTGCCACCAGTGAGAATGGTTCGAGCATCATCACTGAACTCGACACATGCCAGTCCACGGTCCTTGCTGGGAAACTCCTTGACACAAAGACCAGAAGTGATGTTCCAGAGCTTGGCGACACCGTCTCCGCTTGCAGAAACGACCAGATCTCCGCGCAGCTGAACAGCATTCACTGGTCCGCGGTGGCCAAGGAGTTTCTTCACCAAGGCACCTGTGTGCCGATCCCATACACAGATGGTAGTGTCTTTGGAGCAAGACACAATGTACCGGTCATCAAAGCAGACATCCAGCACTCCTGCCTGGTGGCCCACCAGGCGACGAATCGGCTTGTAGTCGTTCTTGATGTCCCACACAATGCAGGTAAAGTCAGACGAACCGGTGACCATGATCTCTTCATCGAACTGGAGACAGAGAATGGAAGCACTGTGATAGTCCGCGCTGTGCTCAATAGGGGCCATGATCCCCGCGGAGCGCGTCGGCGGAGGGCAAATGGTCAAAAAGGGCGGCTTTCCAGCTGATTGCTGCGCCGGGTTATTGACCGGACCAATACCGGAGACATCGCCCGGAGGAGGGCCAATAATCTTCCGGCATGGCCAAGGGTAATGAGCGTCCCAAACTCGGATAGTCCGATCGCGAGAACCCGTAATGATCTTGTCCCTGGAAAAAGTTAGAAAAATCTTGAATGCGAATCTTAACCATGGAAAAACTCACTCATCAAACTGCGCACAGTAGACACTGTCCTTATGGCCGTGAAGGTAGATAGCAGCGGCCTTTCCTTCCTTCCATCTATGTTCCAGAGCACGGCGAACGAGGAACATCCGCTTCCAATCCTGCTTAGGATGGGCCTTGCCCAAACCAGCAGACTGTCTCTTCTTGAATGGAAGCCCGCTAGGGTGTTGTCCGTAGGTATGACGAAACACGTGCCGCCAAATGTGCCGGGAGGATGCCTGCTCACTCCAAGCACGAGAAACCAGTTCAGACTGCATGAGGGACTCGGGATCAAGGTAGGAGAACACCTGTGACATAACCTCAGGAGGAAGGCAGCTGACAGGATCAATCCGTACTATGGCCAGAGCCGGGTCAGATAGCTCGGAGCGATCGCGTAGATCAATGCCAATGCCACTTTCCGAATCTTGGGTCAATCTAGCATCCGAGAGCTTGATACTGTCTTGCAGAGCTCTTGCCAGCTCATTCTGAGCTGCAGCTGCAGCGCGAGCGGCCGCTCCCGCATAGATATCGTTCGAGAAAACGGGTGGCTCCAGGCCATTTCCGGGAACAGGGGCGCCAGCATGGGCGTAGAAGCCATGCAGCGCGGAAATACTCTCAAGTGAAGGTCGACGATTAATGCTGGTTTCATTGCACCAAGAGTTTCTCATGGCTTCTGGTTGAGGATGAACGGAATGCCTGGACGACTTATTGCGGAGCGTCACCGAGAGGCGACGGCCCAGAGCTCGCAGACCGTCCACGGGATGGCGTAAGCTGGAGAAGCTCTTGGCTTCACGGCGCCTGGGGACAGGCTCTGGGAAATGGTTCATATCTTCCACGACCTGGCCGTCGTCATCATCTCCTGAATCCACCACAGACAGCCCATGCCACACATCATGTTCCAACCCGGTTGTATGAGCAGTCGAAGTTGTAGCAGTCTGGGGCCGAGAGCGGAGGGAGAAAGAGGGGCGTCGGCGGGAGGTAATAGTGCTGGAATCTCGTGGAGCCATGACGGGCGATCGATGTCACAGTGACAGTCTCAATTAAGGACAGCCACGCGGGGGACACTTAGGACGAAGCGTTCTCGATAGACTGTTATAGTATGGAATCGTGTGAATTCCCTTTGCGCGGCTGAGACACACCCTCAGGGGTCAGACGCAAGGGTAACGCTGCTGGTCAAGGAAGAAATATGTGATGCGTCAATAGGGGATATAAGGCGGTATCGCGAGGCTGAATGGCGTAGGTAAGGGGAGAAATCAACAGAGTAGCAGCCCGAGTGACCAAGGAAAAGACCGATGTGATCAACAAGAACTCCTGATAACGAACACCAACCGCCCGGGTGAGTCTGATAGGTAAATCGATAGTAAATAACCAAAAAACAAAAGAGTGCAAGATGGGGTGCGAGAGAGGGATGGGCGCGAAAGAAGAAAAGAGAGAAGGGAGGGAAGGAAAGAGAGTCCCAGAGAATCGAGTGTAGAAGAAACAACCCAAAAGTATTAAACCCCAAGACCTAGCGACTGCATGAAAAAGAAAAAAAACAACACTACTGCCAACAAATCTAATAAAAAGCTGGAGGCATGGGGATCGGGCGAGAGAAAAGGGAGGCCCGCCGCCCGGGCGGTGAGCCTCTTTTGCCCCCCAGCCCGATCAGCCCCGACCCGGTCCAGGCCCTTGATTGGCTCTTCCAGGCTGACTGGTGGCGGGCTTCAATTTCTGCTAAGTTTTAAACCATGAAAAGATGTGTGCCGCGGATATTTTTCCTTTGTGATGGCCATTGTTCGCCCCTGTCAATTAGGGCATCCGTAAGGCTCGCATGGCTCGGATGGCAGAATGGGATTGGACTTGATCCCAGGGGTTTGGTATCCAGGTGGATGCCTGATGAAGAGATGTTTGGTGTCCTACATACCATGCACGTCTCAGCGAAGAAATTTTGTTCAGGCATTAACATGTATCTGATCTGTAGTGGGTGGGGGGAGGAGTCACTCCTGCACCAAGGTATCAATGCCTGTAGGAGATGTTTGAGGTCTAATTCTATGTGTACCCATTCTTTGTCTGTGCATGCCGAGAATCGAGACGAACCCCTTTGTCTTGTTGTTCCGGCTCAGGGATCGACTCCATCTCATCTCCATCTTCTTCCCGCCCCCGTGGGGTTGCCAATCCTTCACGGTCTGGCCCACTTTGTCAGTGCCAGTTGGCCAGGCAGGAATTCGTTGTCAACCACAATGCAATTATGCCTCGTGTGATCGGTCGTTGCTAAGTAGACACACTGGAGATTCTCATGCTCTGCTTGTGATTGGAATTTCTGTAAATGATGTACTCACTGAATTAGTGCTTAGTCGTATCGTAAGTCTGTGCGACTTTCCGGGTCACAGCCTCAATCGCTGCCGCCTGAACAAAGAGAGGATCCTGTAACGGGGGATAGTAATGATCCCCTTCAAACTGGGCTATCCGAAATGTTTAAAGCCCCTTTCTCAAGCCTCAAGGCCAAGGGGTTAGCATAGCTGCATCATTAAGCTTCTGAGGAACAGTTGTCGCAAACCTGCATGTTCACCGCAACAGATGGACCAGAATCATAAACGTTCGTACAGCCATACATAACAGAGTAATTACATACAAGCGTCTCTAAAGGTATCTACTTCAGCTCCCACTTTCCATCCTCAGTCACGATCTCCACCGACCGCTTCTCATCCAAGGAAATGCGTCCTGCATGCAGGATTGCCGTTGTGGCAATCGTGTTCTTCAGAGTCGGAATCGGCCTGGCATCCAGCTGATCAAGCGTCAACCGTCCCTCATTAACAGCTGTGACGGCATCAATGAACTTCTCGAAACTGATGTATCCGTAGCCAGTCTGACCACCGAAGTTACCCTCCTCGTCGGGTGCGTACTTCATATAGAACCTGCGTAACTGTCAGTCAGCACAACAATCAAGCCAACGCCATGAGAAGTAGGAACGTACGGGTTAATCCAAGACAATCCAGCCTCATCCTCAGCAACATCATAGCCACGCTTAGCCTGATTAACACGAATTTCACCCTTCGATCCCATATCTGCACTTGTTAGCATCGACCATTCTCCAAGGCTATGAATTGACCCCACGGAGCGACTTACAATGGAAGTACTGGTTAGAGTGTACACCGGCCCTCTGTGGAGCCGTCCAACTAGATGTGTAAACACCCGTAGCCATTCTCGACCCATCCTTCTTCTTCCATTCCACAAGCAGAGTGATAGTGTCCTCCGTCTCATGGGCACAGCCCAGCTCGACAGCAGTTCCCGTAGCCGCACTAGCCGTTACTTTCACGGGGACATAGTCCGGCACCATGCTCTCATTAACGTCCACATGGTGGCTGTTCAAATAGTAGGAGATATCCGAGTCCTTACCAGCCCAGGCCTTGAACGTTTCGAGCTGGCTCTTGGGCTGACTCATGTAGCTGTAAAAGTAGTTAAAGTCACCGAGCTTGGCAGCCTTAGCACGTGCGTCACTGTAGGCCGGGTCGAAGCGCTTGTGGTGCTCAATGTACACAACGACATTGTGCTTGCGAGACTCAGCGAGCAGGTCGAGGTGGTCGGAGAGGAGCTTAGTCGCAGGCTTGGTGATGAGAACGTGGATCTTGCGCTGAATAGCGTACAGAGCGATAGGGTAATGGGTGGGGTCGGGAGTGAAAATGGTGATTGCAGAGCCGGCGGGCAGGGCGTCAATGGCGGCTTTGTAGGCTTCTGGGTCAGAGGTGTTGTCGGCGGGGAAGGAGGTGAAGGAGACATCAAGGCCGTTGTAGACTTCAGAGATATTCTTCTGCAAGTGTGCGCCTGGGTTTCTCTCAGTCAGTTTGGCGAATTGCCGAGTACGAAAGGGAATGAGGGTGAGACTTACGGATTCCGGGGAATTTGGATCCAGATACGCCCACCATGCTCAGATCGCCGACTTTGCCGCGACGACGCAAGTCGAAGAGCGTCAAGCCCACGACACCCACTTTTTTGTCGGAGGTCGAGGCTGTACCGCCGACGTAGCCGGTCGTGTACTCGCCTGTTCCTACCTATGTTGTTGGTTAGTCGGGATACGCGTGAAATTGGAGGAACAACTTACCATCAACACAGCTGGGGGAGCCATTGTGATTGCTGTGGTGTAAATCTGTCCAGAAAAAAAAAAGATTAGAGGGAAAGAATATGACAAGAAAAATGGAAACAATTTTGTCGCTCAGTGGGTTGGCGGTCATATAAGAGATCCTGCTGGACCGGGTTTTGCGGGGTCATTAACCGATGGCTGGTTGAGCTGTAAGTGGTATGGGATTGCATCAATGGTGGAAGATATACAGGACGTGATACAGTCAATTTGATGTCTCTGGTGTCTAACAGTATCTTACGAGTTGCTCTCAATTGATGCTACTATACTGCCCGCTCAAAACCCCCTCTTCACATTGTTCACATGCAGCCTTGCTGGTACTTTTCTCCCTGTATGACAACTGCTGTCGGCGTTTGATACGGACAGAAGAGGCAAGTTTACTACCGGCTCATTATTATTGGTGGATAAATTTGTCCGAAACGGTGGAGACGTGGGATGATACCGAAACGGTACGGCAGGGCACGCGGGGTAAACATGAGGGGTGGTCTACTATATAAGTCCATTGAATGATGCACAACGCCAACTACAGCTTCGCAACACACATATCCCATTGATTAAAAAGTGTATAGTAGCATATATTACACAGACCAGTCAAGTACATCTGCCACACACTCTGAACCCAAGTCCACAACTAACAGCGAACTATAGAATGCCTTTTACCCCGCTCCGCCCCGGAGTGTACGCTCCAACCATGACCTTCTTCGACCCCTCAACCGAAGAGCTCGACGTCCCTACCATCCGCAAGCATGCCGTTCGTCTCGCCAAAGCCGGTCTCGTTGGTCTCGTCTGCATGGGCTCTAACGGTGAAGCCGTACACCTCACCCGGGCCGAGCGCAAGACCGTGATCAACGAGACCCGGTCCGCACTCGTTGAAGCCGGCTTCTCCAACGTCCCCGTCATCGCAGGTGCCAGCGAACAATCCATCCGCGGTACCATCGAGCTCTGCAAGGAATCCTATGAGGCCGGAGCTGAATACGCCCTGATTGTCCCCCCCAGCTACTACCGCTACGCCACCGGCAACGACCAAACCCTCTACGAATTCTTCACCAGCGTCGCCGACGGCTCCCCCATCCCTCTCATCCTCTACAACTACCCCGGTGCCGTGGCAGGAATTGACATGGACTCCGACCTTATCATCCGCATCTCTCAGCACCCCAACATCGTAGGCACGAAATTCACCTGCGCCAACACGGGCAAGTTGACCCGTGTTGCTTCCGCTCTGCACGCCATTACTCCCTCTTCGCCTTTGGCTCCGGCCCAGCGCAAGTTCCCCAGCACCAAGACAGAGGCGGTCCACCCGTACGTTGCATTCGGAGGTATTGCGGATTTCTCCCTGCAGACGCTGGCGTCCGGAGGTTCCGCGATCCTGGCGGGTGGCGCGAACGTCATCCCCAAGCTGTGTGTGCAGATCTTCAACCTCTGGAGCGCGGGTCGCTTCACGGAGGCTATGGAGGCTCAGGAGCTGTTGAGTAAGGCCGACTGGGTTCTCACTAAGGCGGCTATCCCCGGTACGAAGAGTGCCATTCAGAGCTACTATGGATATGGTGGATTCCCGCGTCGGCCGTTGGCTCGCTTGAGTGCCGAGCAGGCGGAGGCGGTGGCAGAGAAGATCAAGGATGCCATGGAGGTTGAGAAGTCGCTGCCGGATATTGCTTAGTCCATTGTATCATATAGAACTAACTACGACTTGTGAATAGAAGGATTTTGGAGTCGTGCGTGCAGTAAAATTGAAACCAGTGGGGTCGGCGTTTCGGAGCGAAGTCCGACCTGGGTGGGTTAGTGATAGACCGAAGTATGGAACCCCCACGCTACATTCCGGATAAAGACATGCTGGTTGGTGGACAAACAGCACCGATTCGAGGACGGATATTGTCTTTGAGAGCCCGGAGCTCATCGGCGTGGATAAATCCATACCAAGCATGACGCAGCAACCGATCATCATCTGAAGACATAATCAGATTTAAACAGCCACATTAGAAATCGCACCCACACAATCTAAAGAGGAACCCGTAGTAAGTAGGGTGGGGGAGGGGAGGTAAGCATAAGGTGGGAAATTGAATTGAGTGGTCTGGCTTAGTAGAGTATTTTTAGTTACTGAGTTGGTGGTGGTTGTTTTTAATAGGGGCTGTGAGACGTTTACTTTATCGATTGGCTTCATGTGCACATGTAGATAAGTTATTAACTGCATTATTCTCTCAGTGTAGCGCCATCACCAGGTTCCGAGCTAGCTCTTATGATAAATATAATCAATCAACAAAGGGGGTTTTACTCCATAAAATCTTCGCCACGCTGCAATCAAGAGAACAAAGTAGAGAGCAAAATCAAGCCCTATGCAACAATTTGCCCAAGCGCCTAATCGTGGTCTCATGAATATCCACCACCCATTCAAAATCCGAGAATTGTCCAGTCAGTATGGTATAGCTTCATCTCCGCGGATTGTTTTTCACTATTCCATCTGCGCCCTTGTTGAACTTTACCCGACAATCCGGACAGTACCATTTGGCCGTGCGACTTGGCACCTCGGACAGCCCGACACAGTCAAGATGAAACCATTCTCGGTCACACTACTTATGTTAGCGGCGCCATCAAAGTAGAATTATGGAGCACATACCTCTTGATTTTCACAGCAGATCATCGTCCCGAAACTCACGTCTCCACACAGACAATACCGTGGTTCGTTCGGGTCGATCTCTTCGAGGACTCCATCCTCGTCGATTCGAATGTCCTCGCGTGCCAAGGTACCATCTTTTAGGCCAACCTCACGCGTCCCAATCCGCTTCTTGCCGGGCTTCGCTTTGCGGCGACCGTAGCTTACCGCTGCACCACCATCTTGACCTGAAGACACAGGACCGGGTGCGGGGCGTTTACGCCTGCGATTGGGAGCACTCACACTGGCGGCTCGAGCTGTTTCTGGTACAGGAGTCTTCCGAGCAGGTGTGGCGCTTTTCTGACGGAGTTCGCGCTTGGTAGAAGGTGCAACGGCGCTGGCATTTGTGGTTGGTTCTAATGATAACGCAGCCGAGCGGCGAGATGGGGGTCGGGTAACCGGGGGGGTTGGCGTAGCCGCTTTTGCGGCTGTGATCGTAGGTTGTGCGATGGCGCGCTTGGGTCCAATTGGAGACGGCGGTAAGGAAGGCTTCTGCGACTCGGAGGTTTCTACAGCTGTAGGAGCTGGCGCTGCAATTGTAGGTGCTTCTTCAGGGATGGCGATGTTTGGATCAACGGGTGTGGGGGATCCTTTGCTAGTTCGGCGGCGTTTAGTCGCGCTTCGCAGCGAAGGACGGGTTTCAATTTCCACAGGCGCAGTAGGAGCAGCGGAGACAGCGGGGGCAGTAGGAACAGGGGAAGTAGCGGAGGTAGCAGTAGGAGGAACAGAGGGTGTAGAAGCAGAGGGACCGTCGGGTGCGGAGGGTTCAACATTGGAGGGACCATCAGACGTGGAGGGAGCAGCAGAAGCAGATGGGGCAGAAGATGCGGAGGGGTGGGGAGCTGAAGGAATGGGGGGAACCTCTGGGGGTGTCACCTCTTCGAGTTTCCTCTTTTTCCCTGCACGAGTGGGCTTGCTCACAGCTGGGACTTCTGGAACACTGGCCGTGGGTAAATTACTGGGAGCCACTGCTGGCTGCACTCCATCCTTGGCTGTTTGTTCTTGTGCTGCTGCAGCGGCGGCTGCGGCTGCGGCAGCCGCCTGCTCTCGGGCCTGGTTCTCCCGTTTAAGCTTCTTGGCCTCGTTCAGCTTCATGCCACGGTTGCTAAGCTTGGTCTCGAATGTGCCCTCGGTATCGCCGGTAGCCTCGCTGCGTTTGGTCAGCTTGCCCGGAACGTACGTGTTCATTATGTCGTCACAGTCCAAGAATTCAGCACCGGTGGCCTCGGCCTGCGCTTTCGCTGCCCGGTAAGCCTCCCAGCCGCGACCGCGCAAGGCCAGCTCGCGATGGATCATGACCTCACTGGGCTGCCAAACGGCATTCTTCTTCATCTTCTTCCGCAGTTTTGTCATTTCCCACTCAGTCAAACGCAACCATGGCATATCCTCACTTCCAGGTTTGGCGTCGTCAGGAGGTGGCTTGAGCATCGCTAAAGCATTGCTGGTCGATATGGCTGGAGCAGAAGGGCCTTGAGCACCGGTCGAAGCCAATCCAGAGGTCCGCGATCGCCGACGGCCCTTCTCCTTCTTGGCGGGCGCTGCTGCCGGCTCCGCGGGTGACTCTGAGGGTGTCACTTTGCTATCCGGCTCCACATCTGAATGCTCTGTGCTGGCAATAGGCGAATCGGGGTGCAAGTCGGCCAGATGCTCGGCAGAGATGAGAGATCGGCGTGTGCGCGACTTCTGCACAGTTGTCGCGCGAGCAGTATCGTGGCCATCCAAGCGCAACGTGATGCGCGTCGTGGTGGGCGGGCCAGAAATTTCCTCTGTTTTCTTGGTCGAGCGGCTTCTTTTGGTTGATGTGACGGGCGGCGCGGGAGGAGGAGTGGGTTCGCGCGACGCGGGCTTGGGGAGAGCTTCGAGCTTTTGCTTGATGCTGTCTAGCCGATTGAAGTGGCGATCAATGACATCGTATAGACGGCAAGCCTCCGCATATGCCGATTCACGGGCGTTGATGGCGCGATCAAGTTGTTCGGAGATATCTTTGCGCAGAGCACGCGCGTCGGGACGCACGTCGGAGGGGAGGGTGGGCAGCTGGCCATAAGCCTTGGTGAGATCATGGACGCCCTGTGTAGCTTCCAAGTAGCGTTCGTCGAGGCCGCGGATGAGAGTGAGGGAGCGAATGAGGTCAGCGGGGAGGTATTCGGTGTAGTCAATGTAGTCCGTGACGGTGGCCTGGGCGTCGGGATCAAAGGGGCCGTCGAGAATTAGCCCACCGGCGTCGTGATAGTCCGCCATGCCATCCAAAAGGTAGACGGAAAGGGTATACGAATGCGAAGGGGCGATAGATGGAGCGATTGAGTGAGCGACAGAGGGAGCGTTGAAGGAATAGGCGGACAAATGGTCAGAGATGGGCGGGCACCATGGGGGTGGGTGCGGCCAGGAAGAGGGACTGGTCCGCACTTTTACATGGAGGGAGCTTGACAGACCAGAGCCTGCAAGCTAAGGTGGAAATAAGTTAGAGACAAGAGAAGAGACAGAAGGGAAAGTTCAACTGAAGGACGAGGTGAGGAGGTAAGGGAGAATGAGAAGCAATAGAAGTATGCCAATGACGGGGACTGAAGTGGAGGAGCAGCGCTGAGATCAGTTGGAGATGTTGGCCAGTTCCGGACCTTCGATTCCCTCCGGCTGGAACCACCGCGGGTCGCGCCCGGGAATATAGTTGTTCCGAGGTTGACAGGTCAGGCACAGGCACAAGCAAAGTATGCTGCCGTCTCATGTCGGAAAATCCACCATTTTTTCAGCACGATATCTGGAGTACATTGATGGAATTTGCCGGCGATGCTCGAATTTACACGCTAGTGCAATGGTGATAGATTATTATGCCTGCTATGAATCACAAGCTTTGACAGCGCACTATGCTCTCCCCCTTGCTGCGCGTGCGCGGTTTTTGACTTGGTTCCATGTCTACATCAAACACTAATATGAGTTAAAGCATCAAGAATAGATTTTTGACCTAGATTACTCCAGTAATCAAGATCCATGAGGTACATAGCAGTGTGTTATAATCACTTAACAGTCAGTATTGGCAGAATCTACTTGGTTGTTGACAAATTCCACCGCCAATATCAAATCGCATACGGGTATTAGGCACAAAGATGCCTTGGATCTAGAAAATTCTGAATACTAGTCACCCAGTTTGATCCTACGAACACGGAGGCTTGAAGCAAGCTATATTGAGATGCGCTTCGAGAGTGTGTTACAACCTTAGCTGCTAAGAGCGCGAGCTACATACCACTCGAGGTACACAATCATTCATCAACGCGAGAAACGCAGTCTTCGGATTTACTATAAGAAATCCAAGGTCTGAACGACTCTCTGGCTCATTTGGTTCATTGAATATGAGGACAACGGATAGAGAAAGCTTCAACCTCACTAGAGGTTCTCAAGATGGTTAGACAGCACGTGGTAACACCAATGAACAGATACTCCCTAAGCGCATACTCTGTTCTGCTGGCATGAGATTGACTTGATAGGAAGTCTTCAATTTGGAAGAAAGTTTTTGGCCACATTTAAAACGTGCGGCCGCACATATCTATGTCAGTGGTGATGCCGGGCGGTTGGACCCGCGCAGGAATAGAGCACCCCTAATAGTGGATTTGTGATCAACTTCAATCCGCCTGCCGTTCGTAGGCAACACAAGGCCCCACATACCATAAGACCCTGGATCCCCGACTCGGTACCGACTATCTATGTTTTACGGCACAGCCTATTCTAAACTTATTCGTAAGATTCAAGAGGCAGAAAACTTTGTAGCCTATAGACTCATATACATGAAGGATTTCGGGTCCAAATGAGTGTGAGCGTGGACCTACAGGCTTGATATGCAAAGTCGATCAACTTTAATGGCCAATCAAAGTGTCAAACACGCAGCTGGTTCGAGAGAATTAATGCTTCACGGTCGTGGTTTCTTCGGCTACTATTCGGCCAAATTGTACCGGTTTATGTATGTCCAGCCTTAAAAAATTGTTCTCACTCAGTGGGTACCTCTAGAATGTTGATTGGGCAAGAAGTAAGACATCCGGAGTGGCTACCTGAATTTTGGAAGATGGGATAAGAGTCCACCAATTGTGAGTGAACAGATTGACTATCTATCGTAAATTTCGACAATAGTTTGTGGATTTAAGCTACCCTAGCTCAATAGCTCAATCCTTCGACCGCCGCATGTTCTTGGGATACTAAAGGCTGCCGATACCAAGCTTGCAACAGTGCATTGATTAGAGTATAAATCGGGGCCGGAACAGCAGAGTTGCGATTAGCCCCGTGACGCCATGTACTGGCCAACTTCGCAAAACGAAAAATGGTTCTGCGGCATCTTGTTTGTGCAAGGACTGCTTGTTATCGTGCTGAACATGTGAGTTCAAATATTGTTAACATATCATCCCTACCCCAGCAATTAACTAAACCACATTTCAGATACAACCTCGTTCAGTGGCAATCATGGGTCAATCCCAATGCCACTCAGGTCGCCATATCATATCAGGTCCCGATTAACATAGCACTCATAATGTTCGCCGTCGTTTATGAAGTATTCCTCGGTCTTGACATGGTACATCATAAGAATATCATCTTGCTTCTAGCCCTTTGCATTAGCAATGGATGTGTACTCGCCTATTCTGTGATGCAGTACATGTCTATCCATATGACCACCTTGAAAATCGGAGAAGACCGCGACTATTTCAATCAACCATTGGTGGACTTATCCAGAGACCTGTGGAAAGAAATCCAGCCTGCTGAGCTTCTGGTTCCCATCACTGTCAGTATCGCGACACTTCTCATGTGGCCGATCGCGTATTGGGTTCACAGAGAATTTTCTTGGGCTATATACCAGTATGTTCAGGGGAGCCTTCAGAGTCGAAAACAATATCGAGGATATGAGGTACTTGGAGTCCTGCAGAGCTCCATTCATTGGGAAAGTGTGATTAACTCTGACAGGCATATCTTGTTCTAATCAAATTCGACTTCTTTTTCTTGGTGGGCTTCATCATTCAGTATGACCTCATTGATGTCCACTTCGAGGAGCCTGAGTACTCCTTGACCTTAGCACTCATTCCAGCCGCACTGCTGGTGATGACTATGGGCACATATTTTGTCCGACGTGAATACAGAGTCCCCACGGCTATTATTGCAGTTAGTCATGGAGCATCAGAGTTACCACGTCCAAATGGCTAACTCGAACAGGTCTGTCGCCTAGGCATTGCGGCCTATCTACTGAGTCGGATCATTGTTCTATGTGGAAAAACTCGGCGCGCCAATACACCAGGGAAGGATATGATGCTGCTCTTTGCCATTGTAGCATTTGCGCTCTCCTGCCTTATCATTCTTTGCACGGTATATTGCATACTGAACTTTGAGCATGGTCTCAAGTCGGTGTTTGCCCGGAAGGATCAAGTCGCTCGGCGGTCTTTCGTGTTTCAGGAGCTTCCAAGTCACACGAACAGTACTCGACAGTCTAGACTCTCGCTTGACTAAGCTGAATACTATATAATAGATTTGAGTAATTATTATAAATGATTATATCCTTGTGAATGAGTGCGAACATTGGCTTTATGTCCTCAAGCACCAACGACATGTGCTGCTATTTTCGGGCACTGGTTGATGGCAGTAAGTGACAACCTTCTAAATTAGCAGCTCTGGTTTGATAATTCAAGTAATAACGCATTCACTCAGCCAAGCCTTCCTCGAAACATTAGATATAAATCTATTTGTCATGACTATGAATGGCCCATAGAAAGGTCATGGCAACTGAGTGAAGTGCGCTTGTTGCAGGCCAACGCTCCGAAACAATGCCATGTCCAATTGGAATGTTTGCCATTCACTGGATTGTATTTCGCACCTACTAACACTTCTAGGATGACCTCGTTGACTGTTGTTTCTCCGAACGATTGAAACCGCCGGGAGGTTGATCTCGGTAAATGACCTTCATTTAGTGTCGCATTAAGACGCCAACTATGTCAACACAATAACTTCTACATAGAGCACTGGAAATGTCTATTCACGTGAGTTCCTTATTCAATCATCTAATTTGCGTGGTGAAGCCGAATGAAAGATGAATCCTTCATGCCTGCCAGTTTAGGCTGCATGGCTCATGGCGGAGACTACCGTTTGCACGCGTTTGCCAACGCAAGGCTGTTTATTAAATATCTCTCCTCTTTTCCTCGCTCGCTCCCCATTTCCCCCCATCAACACCTTCCTAGCAAACAAAATCAGATTTCAAATTCATCACTCGCATTAACGCAATGGGTCCCGAAGAACGTCTCAAGCTGCTTTTTGCGCAGGATGAAGACCTCCTGAATTTGGACACCGGCCGCCGTCCTGCAAACGAATCTCGGCCCGATGATAACATCGAAGGCCCTCAGGCTGAGCTTACTGAGAACCTGGAAAACAGGCCGTCAGCAACAACTACCCAGCAGACAAGTCAACCCACTCAGATTGTGTCTCTTGAACTCCCTTCTCCACCCGGGCTCCCTACCCCAGTCCCGGCAGATGAACACGTATTTCCCACCAACGGCCAATTTAGCCCCCTTTTGGCTATTGCCAAATACCCCTACAGACATATGAAAGGAACCTTGAGCCAAGAGGTTTCCAGCCGCTTCTTTGACGCGGGTAAATTCTGGAACCGCTCGTGGGATATGTAAGTCGCGCAATCCATTGCTTTGTACAACTAGATCTGATAAGTGCCAGTTATTTTGTCCACGCACCAGCGTCTCTCGGATCTAGATTCGTGCTTCTTACTCCTACCAATAAAGTTAACATCTTTTTGGAAGAGATAAATTGTGCTCTGAAGTGTGAGTTGTCGCTGCCAACAGACATGTCCGCCGGGCTGGTCTTGTCTTTCAAAGATGGGTATCCTCAGCCTGTCTACCTCGGCCGCAGCACCACGCGTGAGACTAAGGAACAGCTCGAGTTACAAATTCCTGCTCCATCATCGGAGCACAACCGTCCTTCTGGAGATATGGATGAGGAATACGCTGCTTTCGAGACCATGATGGAAGCCGCTATCGAGGCCACCCGGAACAAAAAGAAATCTTCCAAGCAGAAACAGTTGATGCGTACGATGAAAGAGCTTGATATGAAGCAGATGGTTCGACGGATGCAGTGCTACTTTGGTTTGCGTTCCATGGATGACATTGAAGGGACAGCAGATATGGCTGACTGGGACGCCCCGGGTACAGTGCCCACGGTGCAGCCGCTAGATGCTACCAAGGCAGTACCGTATCCATTCTGGAGAGAGCCCGTATTTATCAGCATCGACGTAGAGTCGAATGAGCGCTGCCATAGCCAGGTGACTGAGGTCGGAGTGTCAGTGTTGGACATGCAGAGTCTGGTGGGAATACCGCCGGGCGTGAACGGCGACCAGTGGCGGAGCCGTATCCAGTCCCGGCATCTGCGAGTGAGAGAATACAGCCATATCGTGAATCATGAGTTCGTGTCGGGCTGTCCTGGCATGTTTCAGTTTGGAGAGAGCGAGTGGGTGCTGCAACGAGACCTGGTGGACGTAGTGCGATCAAGTCTGCGCTTGGAGGATGCACTGAATCGTCGACTCGTACTGGTTGGCCATAACCTTTCAGCCGATGTCAAG